AGAGGTTAAATAACTTGCCTAAGTTCACAAATCTAAGTGGTAGAGCCGAGATGCAAACTCGGGAAGCAGTGCAGAGCCCTTGGCCTAACCACTCTGCAGTGGGGCCACGGTAGTTTCCATTTTATTTTCATTGCGTTTGGCAGACATAGCAGAAAAGAGGCCCTCAAGTTCTTTGCTAATAATGGCAGAAAACTGTCACAGGCAAAGTGGGGAAGCCTGGGTTCTTCTGCTCCTAGTCAGGACATGTGGGTTTCCCACAGGTGTGGTCACATGAAAGATTTTAGCATTCAGTTACACTCTGGGGGGAAAAAAAGAACTGTCCGTTCCAGTGGTTATGTGTAACAATATTTAAGGTTCATGTCTAGAACAGCCAACAAAATAAATAGATAGCTATAACTTGATGCCTTTTCCAAAAGTCCTGAGCCATTATTAGTTTCTAGAACATTCCCTCAGCTCATGCATGGTCACTGACCAGACTAACCCTCTGTGGTCCCTCATCTCTTAAATTAGTGATGGGGCATCTTCCTCAGGAAGCCTACATTGGCCCTGAACCTCTTCCACGTCTGCAATCTGTCTTCCTCAGCAGCCAGGGTCTCTACAACCTCTTCACAAGAGAGTATTTTCAATTAGCCAGGGAGACACCTTGCTTCGCTCTCCGTTCTCAGCTCCCACCTCCTCCAGCACATTAGAATCTGCAAGGAAAACCTATCAAATTAAACTGCTTCCAGAAGTTGCTGATTCTAGTGAAATCCGGGAACTCCTTGCTGAAATCAGAACAACTCTTTCCTGTCGGGTTGCCTTAGCACGATTCCCACCTCTCCTGATAAGTACCTGAGCATCTTTTACGAACTGAAATTTTAATTCACTTTTTTTCAGCAACGAAGACTTTATAGCCTATCTCTGCTATGGCTTGGGAGTTACAAAACTTCTATCTGCACCTGATGCCCTTTGCTAATAGAATTGGCATTCCTTTCAGAACATAGTATCCACTGGGAAAAAAAAAGACGTTTAAACAGAAAACACACTTTTAAAATACATCAGTCTCCCACAGGGTTATTTTACCTAAGTGAGGCAGGGAGATGGTGTATCTTTCAGTTCTCAAAAGACACAACTTTCTTTCTGTTTACGAGGGATAGACTCAGAGGAGAGAAATGGCTGGGGGTTCAGACTCCTTTGAACCCCGGTTTGATCTTGTCCCTCCGTTACTATTACCATCCCTTATGACTGTAAGCTTCCCTTTTCCAGCTGTAAATTGGAGGTTCTAAAGCTATGATTATCTGTGAGCCAAGAGGCCAGCTAAAGTTATCAGAAGGGTTGGCAGCAACATAAGATTAGATTTTTGTACAAAGGCTCCGTTCTTTTTGGCTCATGATTTGGAAGGAAAGGATACGGTAACTAATAGGTTATAGTAAACCTATTTGGAAGCTGACAAAAAGTTAGCAGTTTGGGGAGTACAGCAGGAAGAGCTAAGCCTTAGCATTAGATGAATTTTAATGTTGGCTTTACTGCTGATTGGCTGAGGGGCCCTGGGTAAGTTATTTCATTTCTCTGAGCCTTGTTGTTTTTTTTTTTTTTTCTCTTTTTCTTTTGTAAAATAGAGACAATAAAATTTGCCTTTTTATCTCAGAAGGGTTGTGCGCGATAAAGGCAATAATGAATGTGCTTTGTAAACTGAAAAATGTGAACCGGCTGCAAAAGAGGTCTTGAGGGATTCGTACTTATTGGAGGCCTTGGAAAGTACTGGGTGGAGGGCCTCTCAGCCCTGCCCCAGGGTCCTGCCCAGGTCCAGACACCTAGGTTTATAAGTGTGTGTCTATGGCTATAGCTAAGATGACGCAGTGTTTATGGAGAGCAGGAGATAAGAAACTTTACTGGGAGAAATGTTTTTACGCCTTTCTTTAAAGGGGTGAAGTTAGGCCTGGTTAGGAAATTTCACGCATACCTGCAGCTGGAGACAGGTGAAAGTGGAGGTGGGAATTTTTACTGGAAACAGAGAGAGTAGAAATAAGGAAGGAAGAAAGGGCAGCAGGAAGTAGAAGCAAAGAGCTGTGAGTTAGGACCAAGATTTCCACTTCACTGTCATTAAAACTCCTAGTTCAGGTTTAGCAGTTGGGGAAGAATCGGCCATCGTGCTTTTGCCGTGGGAGGTCCCTCAGCATTGATTTCCAGGGAGTCCGGGTCCCTCCAGCCCAGCTTGGTCTTTAGTGTCTTGAAGGAGGAATCACTATCTTTTCCATGTGTACAAAAGGCCAGGAATCTAAAGTGTATCTCGTCTTAAAAAACAACCCTCTGTGAAGATAAATGTTGGGGAGATCCCCATTAAACTGAGAATTCCTTTGAAATTCTCATTTCTCTTTTCTCCCCATGGCCTAGAGATAAGTCCTGCCATAGTTGGGTAAGAAACTCCTCAACCTCCCTGTGTTCTCCTGCCCACTGAGAGTCATGTTCTGTTTGAAAAGAGCTCAACCAATGAAGGCTGTTGTTTCACTGGGGACCAGAATATCCTTCTCAAAGCAGTGAGGGCCGTGTGAGAGTAACAGGATCCACATGTTCATAACACTCAGCATATGGGCCAGTGAACTTTTGAGGAGGCGTCTGCCTCTCATTCTCTAAACAACATTCCAGTAAACTCCAGAAAGGACTGTGGCTTGGTTGACAATGACATAGGCACGCTCTGGGTGTCATAGATCCATCATCTCTATAGAATATGAGCCAGAGGTGGCAGCAGGATGGGTCCTGGCTGGCCTTCTGGTGGGTGGCACTGGCCTATGGCCATCTTCATAAGGCCCCTGTGCTCCCCAAAACACTACAGCACTTATCAGCTCTGGGCTTTCTCTGTTCTGTTAAAGGAAGGTGAAGCCATGAATTGTTACTCAGGGCCCAGGCAATGTGTTCTTCTGAAAGGGAATAGTTTACCCTTTTGGTGTATCCAACCTGCAGCCGGATGCTGATTTTGTGAGGACACTTTTTGCTTCTCTGTGGTATTGGATAGCATCAAAAAATGTATGGTTTGGGGGGGGGGGTTAGTGTTTGTCTATTTAATTTGATGTGTAGCCCAAGACAACTCTTACTCTTCCAATGTTCAGCAGAGGAAAAAAAAGTGTTGGACTGGCGGCACCTGTGGCTCAAAGGAGTAGGGCGCCATCCCAATATGCCAGACGTGACAGGTTCAAACCCAGCCCCTGCCAAAAACTACCAAAAAAAAAAAAAGTGTTGGACACCCCTGTTTCCACAGAGTCAGCAGCACACAGTGGAACAGAGCCCTCCCTGTGAGCCAGGAGGCTGGGCTCTGGGGCTGTCCAGGCCTAACTAGAAGTGACCTTTTCCACATCTGGCAAGAGGGGAGTCAGGACATGGTGGAATCTGAACCCCCACCCCACCTCCCAGCTCTCATAGTGTAGAACTAAGTGGCACCTGAACTTGGTGTGAGGGAGACTGAGGAGAGAAATCAGGCGCAGGGGTCACACACAAGCCAGGGGACACGGCTGCTGTGACCCTCCCCAGCGTCACATTCCAGCATAGCTCTGGTGCCATGGGCCAAAGTCAGGAAACCTCCCATCACTGCGGTCCCAGGAGGGAGAAACTGGCTGCCTCTAGATCATGCATTTCTTCCAAACCAGCCCTGAGAAGTCCTTGTCCCCCACTCTCGACCACCTAATTCTCAGAAAGGGGAGCTCAGCGTCCTCGCCTGCCTCTGCCCCAGGTCCCATTTCTCCCGGAGCCCCTGCTCCTCCTGTCCCCACATCAGCCCTTCCTCTCTGCAGCTTCTGCTGGCTTTCTCCATCACCGACCTTGTGTGCTGGTGGAATGGTTAGGAAGGCTGCAATCTCGGTCGCTGGGTGCCCCCATGCACCCCCTTCCCAGCCCCAAGCAGGCCCTTTGATCATTCAGTCCACTGCACACAACTGTAGTCTCTTCATCAAATGAGCACAGAGCGAGACCCACAGCAGCTCTGCCTGCAAGTCAGTCTCCATGGCAACCAGCATTCCCTTCACTGTACTGTGAAAAGAAAATGGCTGTTGGAAGGGTGGGCTCGCCGAACCGCTGTTCTCGGGCCTGTCGTGTTCAGCCCCCTCCTTCATATTGGCTTTAAGAAGCTCCATGCGTTGAACCAAGTGTCTGTTGGCCCTTAGAGTTGGAATTTACTGTACTTAAGAGGAAGAGAGGCAGAAGGAAGTTGAATTCGAATGAATAAAGCATTTTTCCCACCTTTAAACTGTATTTTCATGAGGAATGGTTATCTGCTTGGAGCTGATAAAAGAGGAACAGATGAGAGCGAGAATCTGTGAGATCTGGCATAGTGTATTTTGTCTTATCAGTGCAGTAGAATGACAGTGTATAGATATTCAAATAAAAATTCAGGAAAAGTAGCCAAAAGCTAGAGGGAATTCTGCAGGGCACAGACTATAGGATTTCAGAAGCGTGTCTGACCAGTGGGGGGTGATGCGATCTGATGTTGTCTCCTGCTATGGAGATGGTGATGTGCGTCGGCCCTCCAGGCGTGAGGGAAGGTCAACATTTGCTCTCACCATCCCTGCCTCAAAACCAGTGTGAATCTCCATAGAGATGAAGCATGGCGGCTTCAGGAATTGGTACGAGACAAGCTTGGTTCTGGAGAGGCAGGCTTCCTGCTCTTGACCCAGCCATGGGAACATTTCACATTGTCATCCAAAAAGAACTGGTTGGGCTGCCATTCTGAGAATCTAGAGCGTGCTGTTTGGAGCAGGCACAGAAGCCTTCTCAAAGGGTCAGGCACGGGGCAAACATCACTCTGAATCTCCCCTGGGACTGGTGCCCTCTGTTAGGGGCTGGCAGTCCCATAGAGGGAGGAATGGTTTGGGCCATGTCCCCCCCCCACTGCTGGTGACAAGTTCTCAAAACTCAAACAACCTCCTTCCTTCACTCTTTCTTAACACAAGTCAAGGGATCCTTGAATGAGTTTGGGGTTTCATTCTCCAAAACTTGAATGTTGGGCCTGACCTGGACTTTGCCTTTTCCAGTTTCTCTGCAGGTGGACATCGTTCCCAGCCAAGGAGAAATCAGCGTTGGAGAATCCAAATTCTTCCTATGCCAAGGCAAGTACCCTGAGCACCACTGCATTTTAGAACTTGCTTCAGAACTTCGTCAGACAGAGCTGAAGCCAGTGGGCCCGTGTGCTGGGCTGATCGTGCCCCACCTAAGACCCTGAGCATTGCTCTGCTATGGGGTTCATAGTGTGACCCCTCCAGAACCAGGAGACCTCCCAGCACACTTCCTCCCCCTCACAAAGGCTGCCCTGACATAGTCAACTGTCTTCTCGACCTTAGCTTAACAGTGGAGGGGGCTTGGTATTCCCTTAGGAAAATCAGCACAACTCCCAGGATATTGAATCATCCCAGATGTCCTGCTCTACATACATCCACAGTTCTATAAATGACAACACAGATCACCACTGGCTCAGAAATCATGCTTCAGTGGGTCCATCTAAAGCTTACTTTTTAGAATCATCTAGAGCTGGAAATTGTGAGGTCTAAAAACTTGGCCTGAGAGTAAATTGAACACTGGTTTGCTGTGTGTTGTGAGGACATACATCCTGAGCTTTCCATATCTGCTGTGAATACCAACACTCTGTCCCATGCATGGTCCCCACCAGAGAGTTCTAGAATATGTCAAATCTGGTATCCTTGTTTCCTGTTTAAAAAAGATGTCCTCTTTCCACAGCTCAGGTAATTATCAGGAAATTTCGGGCAGAGGACAGGGTTTCAAATTAAGCCTCAGATTCTCTATGTATGACATGACTGAGATTCAGAACATGGAAGAACCAGGAAAGAGCTCAGCTAGGTGTAAACTGTGACATTTAGCAAGCAGCGTTTGGCGAGGAGGGGCCTTTAAATGCTGTCGTGATTTGCATCAGATGAGGCGGCTTGTGGCCGCCGGATGTGTTCACTCCAGCTTTGCCTTCATTGCAGCAATTTCAATGATCTGGAGATGCGGCGTGGAGCCCACAGCACATCTTGCAAATAGCGATATTTATTGAAAACATGATGGGGCCTGAAAGGAAGACTGCTTCATTTCCATACTAAGCATCTGTGCAGGGCTGGGTGGCGCAGGCCGGGAAGGGCGCCGTGCAAAGAGCAGGGTGCGGCCATGTCCACCAGGTCTACCAGCCCTTTACCCTAGTCCAGCTCAGCGTCTGGAGAAGTTCTGCACCCGCAGACTGCTCCTCGTGGACACCTGGGGACAGGAGGCATGGCTGAGCCTAGCTACTTTCTTTATAGCATTTAAGGAGATGAATTTGTCTGTCTAAGGCCCGGGTCCTGCAGTAACAGTCATGCCAGTTTGTGCCCGCAGACACCAGAATAAAGGTGGCTGGAATCTGATGTTTGCCGTATCTTATCTTTGCTCAGAAGACCATAGTCTAAGCCTTTGAAAACAAGATGCCCAGTCAGATCACACCAGCCGGGTTCTTGAGTACAGATTCAGAACTATATCACACCCCTTTTTTCCCTGTTTTGTGAGGCATGTAAGATCCAGCAGACACTCGGTCCCCAACAAATATCTCTTCTCTTTCCTCACTAAGGATAGAACTATGATTTAAAAAATAATACCAGCATGAGTGGTTGTTGGGTTATTTCCGAGTACTGCAAGAGGTGTTCCATGCGTCCATCGTTCTAACGCCAATGATCATCCCTCCCTGATGGTCAAGCCTTGATTGATTTGCTGCTCACTAACTCTTACTGAGTCCTTCACCCTGGAAGGGACTGAGTTCTCTTTCAACTTCAGTAGTTTAAAAATCATCTCTTCCTCCCTAGTGGCGGGAGATGCCAAAGATAAAGACATCTCCTGGTTCTCCCCCAATGGGGAAAAGCTCACCCCGAACCAGCAGCGCATCTCCGTGGTGTGGAACGACGACTCTTCCTCCACCCTCACCATCTACAACGCCAACATCGACGACGCCGGCATTTACAAGTGCGTGGTCACCGGCGAGGACGGCAGCGAGTCCGAGGCCACCGTCAACGTGAAGATCTTCCGTAAGAGCCTCTTGCTTCCCCTTCTGTGTCCTGTGACCTCCCTGTCGAGGAGACACGTGGGTGGTAGAAAGGCTGAGGGGGCAGCAGAGGGCCAGCTGGGGGGCTCACAGGTCCCCTTCTCTCTCCCTAAGTCTTTTCTGATCTAGCTCAGAGCTCCAGTACATGCTGACATGGTGCTTGGCCAACTCAGAGCTCACCACCTCAGGTTCACACTGGTCACAGGTACCCTCCACAGGCCACCCAGAAGTTTGTTATAGCTTCTCTCTCTTCCCTGACTGTTGACTGAGCTCCCTTTCCCTCTGCCCGGCCTAAAGGCTCAGTGGGGGCAGGGAGGTCATTATCTGAGCACCCTGTGCCACTCAGAGCAGGGAGTTCCATTGCCACTGAAACCCCATCTGCAGGTGGCATCTGATTACCTTCTTATCATGCATCTGTCCCCTTGGTCAGAGTAATAGTGGGTGACAGCTAATGGAACAGTATTGATTGCCGCTGTATTGCTGCTAAATGTGCTTGTCTTCTGATCTCTTCTTCAGCATTCTGTCCCCTGTAGGGAAGTGGGGTGGGGGTAAGCGTCCAAGTGGGAGACAAGCAAAGGACTGATGACTCCTAGAACCAATTCATTCTTCCTGGGCATTGTGTCGTTGGCATTGTCCCTCGGGTCAGGGACACCTTGGTGAAGACAATCTTTTCATTCTCTAGACCTTTTTTTGCATAAAGTGTAATAAACTTAGCTCTCAGTGAGTAGCTGTGACTGCCCAGCATTGCTAACAGAGTCCCCTGCTTACTCCAGCTGCTCCGCCCGGGATCCGTGGCCAAGCGCCCCTCTCGTACAACCATATATAAGCATTGGCACTTGCCGGGACTCCAATCTAGGCAGCCTCGCTCTAGTGGGAAGGGATGTTTATGGGAGGACCCGATGTTTTCCCTCACTCTTCTGCTCCTTTTCCAGAGAAGCTCATGTTCAAGAATGCGCCGACCCCACAGGAGTTCAGGGAGGGGGAAGATGCTGTGATCGTGTGTGACGTGGTCAGCTCCCTCCCACCAACGATCATCTGGAAACACAAAGGCCGAGATGTCATCCTGAAAAAAGACGGTGAGACCTGAATCTCCTGGCAGCTGCCTGTTCCCCTGAGCCACCCACTTCCCTAGTTGTACCACCTCTCCCAGCCCCAGAGACATCCCAGCTGGGACTCAGCATCACCGGTACCAGAACCCACATGCAGTTTCCAACTCCTGAGCTATGTTGGGATATCCCGACATTGATTTTCTCTTTGAAGCAAAAGACAAATTTCCAATAGACTTTTGTTCTTTACCCAATTTCGGAGCCAGGGACACATTTTCTTATTTCAGCTTAAAACTTTTCCGCATGAGATGAACTTAGGGATAAGAAAACAGCCTGGGCTGGCGGCCTGCAGGTACCAGAGTCCTCTGACTGATCCTTGGGTGGACCTGTCTCTTATCTCTTCTAGTCCGATTCATAGTCCTGTCCAACAACTACCTGCAGATCCGGAGCATCAAGAAAACAGACGAGGGCACTTATCGCTGTGAGGGCAGAATCCTGGCGCGGGGGGAGATCAACTTCAAGGACATTCAGGTCATTGTGAATGGTGAGAACATCCATAACCTTCCCCAAATCATTCTGTTTAATTTCTCTCTGGTCTAGAAAATAAATCCTGTCCTGACTCATTCATCAGTCTTAGCTGAGTCCCCTTGCCACCATAATCTGTGTGGGTTTGGGGGAGGGGAAGGTTAAAAAATACACTTTCCTTTTGGCCCTCCACTGAACTGTGGGGGTTTTCGTGCAGTGGTTGGATGTCCTTCATTGTCTTGCAACACTAGAAACTTTGCTCGTGCTTACTGAGAAATTCTTTTCATTTTTTGAGACAGTTTGTCACCCTTGATAGAGTGCTGTGGTGTCTTAGCTCACAGCAACCTCAGACTCTTGATTTAAGCAATCCTCTTGCCTCAGCCTCCCAAGTAGCTGGGACTACAGGCACCCGCCACAATGCCCGGCTAGTTTGTTGTTGTTGGCAGTTGTCATTGTTGTTTAGCCCAACCCGGCCAGTTTCAAACTCACCAGCCCCAGTGCGTGTGGCCAAAGCCCTACCCACTGAGCTATGAGCGCCAAGCTCATACTGAAAAATGCTCATTCCAACTCATTGTCCTTGATGTGACCATAATCGTGAAGTTAGTCCCCTGGTTCAGTGTTCAAATAAAGTATTACAATCAATTCAGGTTTCAGGATAGGCAGAATCATGGTCCATAGGCTTATTAATCTTCATTTGTAGTGTCAAATAAACACACCCATGGCATCGATCTGACATTTATAAGATGTTTACAGGAAATTACAATGTCAGTACTAAGAAAATAAGTAAATCATGGTTGAATTGTTTTGACTATTGACATTTTTTTTTTTTGTTTTGCCAAAATCTTCCCCTCTCATTCCTTTGCTAAAAAACAGTTTGTACACAAGGTTGTTTATGACAATCCCAGAGAAATATCATTCTCTTTGGGGAGATGGCGCATTTCAAATTGGCATTAACCATTTAACCACCAAGAGCAGTAGTTTCCAACTTTCTCCAGCATCAAGAGCCCCTCTTTAAAGTCGAGTTCCGTTGACCCTTGTAGTTATTACATTTAATACACATTGACTGAAAAATGTACATTGAAAAAAATAACTCCTGTAGATCAAATACTGTTTTAACATGAGTAAAATACATTTTTATAGCTGCTTAACTCCTGAAAGACAAAAAGTCGTGTTTGGGAGAACTGCCTGTTCGCTTTACAGTAGTTAGTTAATTACACACGTGAACTGAGATTATTTATAGTAACTTGAAGCTGCCCAGGACCCTTGACTTGCAGACTGAGACCCCCTGACGCTGAAGGTGTCTCTTCTCCAGGCTCCTGGGTTCTTCCAAGTTTTCACAACCACCCCTGACCCCCTTCTCTCCTTCAGTGCCGCCCACCGTGCAGGCCAGGCAGAACATCGTGAATGCCACCGCCAACCTTGGCCAGTCCGTCACCCTGGTGTGTGATGCTGAAGGCTTCCCAGAGCCCACCATGAGCTGGACAAAGTAAGAAACTGGCTCATGCCTTTTCTCATGGACCAGAAAAGAGGGCATCCTAGGGTCTGCTTCATGTGACATTTGAGTGGAATGGGTGTAGACATCTTGGGCGTGTCACCTCCAGGTGAAGAATGGCTTCCGTCTCGTGCATTCGATCACTCCTTCACTTTCAGTCTTGAAGAGGCAGAACCAGAGGGTGTGCCCTTGGGGTAGGGAGGGCTCTTTGAAACTTCCTGCTGTGTAGTTCACACACCTCAGACAAGAGTATGAAGACTGAGTAGAGAAATCAAAGGTACATCTGGAAACAACTCTGCGTCTTAACTTTCTGCGACAGCAAGCTGTCTGCATTCTATAGAAAGTGAATAAAACACACATCTTGGCTCTGTGGTCAATGCCATGCTCCTTTGCATTCGTCTCCCCTGCAGGGATGGAGACCAGATAGAGGCTGAGGAAGACGACGAGAAGTACATCTTCAGCGACGACAGCTCTGAGCTGACCATCAGGAAGGTGGACAAGAACGATGAGGCCGAGTATGTCTGCATTGCAGAGAACAAGGCCGGCGAGCAGGATGCATCCATCCACCTCAAAGTCTTTGGTAAGGGCCGAGGTCACTCTCTGCCACAATTTCTCTTAGCCACACACTCAACCCACTGGGAAGAGCCTGTTCACTCCACCCTGGGATGGATCCCAAATGCAACCATCCCTTGTCAGCCCCACCTAAGTCCTGGTCCAAGCCACTGTCGTCCTCACCTGCACAGTGGGACGGTCTCCCAAGTGGCCTTCTTGCCTTCCCCATTGGTCCTCTTCATTCCCTTCTACTCACAGTAGCCACGGTGGCCTAAGGGCCACTCATCTATTTATGGTCCCCCAGCAGCTTCCCACTGTAGCCAGAATAAAATCCAGAGTCCCTACCGTGGCCTACAAGACCGAATCTGAGCAGGATCCTGCCTTACTCTCCAGCCTGGCCTCTCCCTCACTGGGCTCCACATTCAAACTCTCCAGCCACACAAGCCTTCTTTCCATCCCTCAGACACACTGAGCTTGTTCTCTGTCTCAGGGACGTTGAATAGGTCTTCTACTTGGAGCATCATTCCTGAGGTTCCCTCCAAGCTGCTATCTTCATGCATCCTACAGATCTCAACTCAAATTCACCTTCTCAAGGATTCCTTCTCCCACAGCCCTGGCTAGTGCAGACCCTGATCACTGGTGCGTGCAGCTCCCAGGCAGTTAAAATGTGCATCTGGGAACCAGTGTTGCGCCCTGTTTGTTTAGCCTGATCAGGAGAACTGTTTGTCCACGTGGACCTTTGAAAATCAATGTTTGTATGCAAATGACTTGCTATTTATTCCATAATGACACCTAGGTTTACAAACAGGTTATCAGTTTGGTTCAAATTACTGTGTACTTGACAGCGAATGCTAAGCTTCTTGAAAAATATTCTTGAGCGTCTTTTCTCTCATTCGAACTGATTTCCCCCCAATCCCTGTGATTTTATTAAGTTTTTCCATATTCTAGAAAAACACAGATGTGTTTGTTAATGTAGTCCTTCACTTAATGAATATTAGCCCCCATTGTGGCTGGACAGAGGGCCTCCAGGGATGAGTAGGATATGGTCCCCTGGCCCTGAGAAGCACAAAGAGAGAGAGAAGCACGTAAGCGTATATTAGATAAGTTAGAATAGTATAAACCCACAACATTTGGGCAACCCCTATAGACCCAGCCATTGCAGTTCATGAAGATGAAAAGCATGGAACCTGTTCTCATCAGTAGGTTCACAGGCTAATGTAAATGGTCACTGCCGGAATCTGAAATGATAATCAATTATAATGAATTCATAACAGCAGTCTGCATAGGGTTTTACAGGAAAGATTGGTCCTGCATGACCTAAGTTAAAGACAGCATCATACCTGTGTCTGTATCACGAGTCAGCCTTACCCAGCTGAACACAGGGGGTTGGGCAGGGGCTGGGCATTTCAGGCAGCCCATCCTGAGGCTGGAGAAGCCCATGTTTTAGCACGAGAGCTGTTTGTGGACAGGGGCTGTGTCTGTTTTACTCACAGACATGTCCCTAGAGCCTAGTACAGTGCCTGGCGTGTAAAAGGCACTAGTGTGTGAATAAAGGACAGAACGGCCACTACTGGCTCCGTGTGAATGAAGCCTGGCTGTGGGGCAGGGAGCTGAGCCTGGAAACATGTCATCATTTGTCTTGAGGAAATTCCGTTAGACCTGAACCCCGTAAAGTAATGATGATAACCCCCACACACTGAGCCCTACTTGGCTGTGAAGCACTTTCCGTAATTTAACTCTTTTAATCCCCATCATACCCCTGTAAGGTAGATTTAATTATGATCCTCGTCTTCCAAAGGACCACCCTCAGCACAGAAAAGTGAGATGCTCCCCCAGAGGAGCCAGGTTTCCAACCGAGGCAGTTGGCTTGTAAGTCCCGAAGTTCACAGTGGTGGCTGCTATCCCACAAAACCCAAGAGAACACATACTGTCTCTGGGTCACATGGGGAAGGACCGGCGACTCTAGAATTAGCGCCCTCTGCCTCTACCACCACGCAGCTGGCGTCTCTCTGTAGGAGCACACTCAGCGCTGAGCTGGCTGGATGGGAACAGATCTCAGCAACCCTTCCTGGGAAAAGGACGCACGGGGTGGGCAGTGAGGGCAGGGCCAGGTGGGGCCGAGGGCTAATGAAGAAAGTGGACCAGGTCAAGGGAAGGAGGTGATGAGGCCTGAAAGTAGGATGGGGGAACTGGCAAGACAGGGTTTGTCATCCCACCCCTCACCTTGGACATATGAACACCCCCCTGTGTCACTGGGGCAGGAATGGGGGAGTCTCTCCAGCAATAGCAGGATCTCCAGCAAGAAAGAGAAGAGGAAAGAATCCTATGGCTTAATAAGAACGAGCTCAACACTCCTATAGCTTCAAGAAAGGACGGCAGTCAGTAGGTAAGGGACATTTCTAAATTAGGGACTGTCACCATTGTGCCTAAATGACATCATTTTTTCCTAAGAGAAAGATACGTTCTAATATGCATTGCCCTAGTTATTAGCTAGACACTCTTTTACTAAGTAGCTTCGTCCTACCTGTCTTTAAGTTCTAAAGTGAATTTCCATTGCTCCTGCCCCAGTGGGCCCTTCTAAAGAAGGAGTTTTGTCTCCCCAGATTCTTATTATCTCAGGTTAATGCTCTTGAGGTCTCCTGCTGCCCCAGGCTAGTTCACCAGCAGACAGAAGCCTTGCTTAGCTGATACCTTGTGACTAAAGCAAACCTTGTGGGCTCCAGCAAAGAGCAAACAGGAGCCTGAAGGAAGGTCCACCTGCTCGCGCCCAGGGATACTGTCCACACTCTTTGTTCAGGAAAGCAGGCAGGGCTCTCCCTGGGCTGGGGTTGCAGGATCCTGGATGGGAGGAGTAGGAACAGGTGAGGCTGGCTCTGAGAGTCAGGCCTGCTGAACACTCACAGGGCAGCGGCACTCACCCTAGGGGCCCTGGGGGTACGGGGGAAAGGTGCGTGGAATGGTGATCCGAAAGCCAAGGGCCCACAGCAGAGCTTCATTAAGGTGGCACAAAGGGTCCAGAAGGTGTGACCTGGCCAGATTCCTCTAAATGCTGAAGGCAGAGGGAGGGAATCTTTTATAAGTAGGGTGATCCAGCATCTGTCCATATTTGCCCCATAATGCCCCTTGTCCTGGTATAATTACTTAGGGCACTCCCTTCACTCTCAAGAGTGTCCCAATTTAGACAAGAAATTCCACGCATTGCTGGCCTTTTTCTAAGGCAGTGTTGTAAACCTTCAGAGTTAGTTCTGACAACAGCCCTGCTTCTGGGGTCAGAGAGGATAAAGTAATCATGACAAGCCAGCCTTCCTTCTAGCAGCCTTCCATGGACGGGGCAAAATTAGCCATAGTTAATACTGTTTTTACAAAGAAAATAGTTTGCCTTGTTCTAAGAACTTGTACAGTGCACCCTTTGTAAGCATCTGAGAAATGGAGCCACCAAGACCCAATGTTAATAGACATTAACTGACCCCTGTCTGTCTTCTGTTAACCTTTGGCCACCAGGACAAAGTGCTGGAGGTCAGGAGAAGGTCCCCAAGACACTGTCTCAATCGCAGAGCCTGACCAGGTTCTGAGAGGCCCGAAATTCAGACTCCCTAGGACCATCTCCAGACTCTAAACAACCGTTCAGTGTAGTAAAATAAATTCAGCAGTTTGGCTGAACTTTTTTGTGTTTTACCTTTTTTTACGCTGTGATTTTGACAGTATAGAAATTTGGCTTTTATTTTACTTTAGTTTATTGACCTTTTTGGTTTTCATGTTTATTTTACTTTTATGTTACCCTCTTGAAACATCCTATTCAATCGTACTGAGCACTTCATTCCTTTTCAATGAAAGTTATCAAGATAGACTCAAAATCCTCCTCTAGGAAAACCTCAGCCCTGCAGACGTAATCCACTCAAATTGATGACCATTTGACCACACTGAGTTAAGACGTGCCTAGGTACCATCCATCAGAAAAGGATTTGCTAAGTTGGCTGTTGGTACAGATTAGCTTTAGAATATTTGAACTAGATGGGCAATTTCATATAGAAGCAGGCATTTCCTACCAAAAAAAAGTATAGCTCTACCATTGTTTTCCAATTATTAAACCAACAGCAAAGACTTGGAGTACAGACACAGGCCGGAGTTTATTTGCCTCGTTGGGGTTACTGTATGAGTCTGAATATAGAGCAAATATAGTTTTTTAAAAGCTCTCTATAATTCTGGTTTCTCTACTTGTTTGTTTATCCCGGCCTTTTTTTTTTTTTTCTATTAGTGAAATAAGTTACGTTTGTGCAATGTTATCTTTTTTTTCTTCTATGGAAAGCTCAGCAATTTCAGAGTATAATTGTTTTAAATTGGGAAAATTCAATTTTCTCTAATGTTTTAACATTTAACTCAGCTCTGGAGTGCTTGTGTTTTCCTGCATTACCCAGAACATTTGGCAAATGAACTCATCTTGAGTCATCTCCTTCCTCTCCTCAGCCCAGCCCGGCCCCCGCCCACTTCCTTGCCTGCTCTCTTCACTGAGTTAATGGTAACCCCATCCTTGTGGTCACTGAGCGTCGGAGGCATTTGGACTCCTTCTTAGTTTTTCTGTTGACTCTCTCCATCTCTATGCCCCCTCTGCTCGTTGCCACGCCCTCCAAACCCTTCTTTAACGTCTCTCTCAAAGTTGCCCTTGTGCCCTTTACTTTCCATTCCCTGCTAAACAACCTTGCTCAGGACTCAGTGTTACTTCACACCCAGCTCATTGCCCGGGCTTCCAAACTGGTCTTCCCACCTCAACGTTGTCTCCATTCTAAATCATCTTCAGATTTTCCTAGATTAACTTCCTTGAAATACAACTGACGTCATTCCCCTAATGAAACCCTGGATCTACCAGCCAGTAGGTAAAATTCTAGCAATCCAGCCTGGGCTCCCTCTGCCCCACACCGTGCTGCTCAGCCCTCTCTGCGCACGTTCTTGCCTCTTTGCTTTTACTCAAGCAGTTTTCTGCACTTGGAAAGACTCTGTTCCTACCCCTAATTCTATCTGCTGGAAGTCTCATGGTGCAGCCTGAGAGCTGTCTCCTCTTAAAGGCGCCAACCAGGGGAGTGTCTTCCCTCTGCGTCTCTCCCCAGTACTATTTCCCTTAGCACTCACACACGCCAGGATCTGTTTTTAAATTATTCTTCTGGTTTCTAAGCTTATACACGCCTCCTCCTTGGAGGTTCTGCTCTGGATCTCCCAAAACATCTAGACGAGGGCCTTTTATTTAGCAAACAGATAAAACCTCAGTCGAATGGTTACCCATCGTCCTCTAAACCCAAAAAGTAAACTCATAGAAGTGTTTTGTCTTTTCAGCAAAACCCAAAATCACATATGTAGAGAACCAGACTGCCATGGAATTGGAAGAGCAGGTTACTCTCACCTGTGAAGCCTCGGGGGACCCCATTCCCTCCATCACCTGGAGAACCTCCACCCGGAACATCAGCAGCGAGGAAAAGGTATAATGTTGCCCAAGAGTTTCAGGGCCGTAGAGCACGCACTTGGAGCGGGTTGAGTCTGCGCATGCCTAGTTCGCTTCAGTGAGCTAGAGGCTGGGATATGGTCAGCAGAGACCATCCCTGGGGCCTGTGGCCTTCCCCTGACACCTCCAGCCTGCAGGACCTGGCCTGCTCAGCCTCCTCTTCCAAATGGGCCCAATTCCTTGTGGAGATGGGCAGGGGTATGATGTTAGTGGGCATGCTTGTTAGATGTTCTGGGGAGGAGGTGACAAGTGATTTTTTAAGCCCAGGGTTATGGAGCTGTGAGGACCAAGGAGGAGCCAAGATCCTGGTGCACCAGATGGCATTCTTATCCTCTCAGCAGCACCTAAGGAAATGTCTCCCAGAAATAATCAGGATCAAAACGAGCCTCTGAATTCTTGTCCTTGCGTTTTGTGTACTCATGCTCTAGACGCACTTATGCACAGAAGCTTGGTCGCCTTTGTGTCTGCCTGTATTCTTGGTCACATTCGGATGTCATTTTGTTCTAAAGGCAAAAATAATTAGCAGTTTCGAAATGATGATTCTACCTAGGTAATACAGTATATAATCCCTGAAGGTTTGAGAACATCGTACCAACCTTCCTGACAAATTAAAATGACTTTAAAGCCTTACAGCACATGGATTTATAGGCCACCGGAAACCTATCTTTATTATTGATAATGTATAAAAATTAAAGTGACCACACATCATGCAACCCTTGGCTATTGACTGGGCCAAAAGCAGGAGGAAAAAGCTTGTGTTTAAAGCAAATTAAACCTTCTTATGGCTTTTCTCCAATTCTCATCTCACATATCTTACAGTAATGGGCTTCATCTTGGCTGGCCAAAGTTTTGCCACCTATTCAGGAGTAATGACCTTACCCTTAAAGAACATTTATAATGGATTGCTTATTGACCAAGATGTCAGAAATGATGGATTTTCACTCTTCTGCCTGACTGCAGGAAATCCTTAGAGAGGATAAACTCAAATAAAGCCAAAAATGAATAGTGTGAAATACTAGAGCTAAATTTGGGGTTTGCATTTGATGGGACTGATTTTTGTCCCACTAATAGAAAACAAAACTAAATCAAAAAGAACAGAAGTTGCTATTTCAAACAACCCATTACCTTTTTTTCTTTGTTTGCAAGTTTTACCTCTGGAGTTGAATGCAACTTAACAAAAACTCAACTGAAGAACTGCTAAGTATTTTTGAAACTCACACATGCTGTTTGATACCGGGAAGAGCAACTAGGTTAAGAAACGTGATTTACTTGGATACTTTCTTTATCGACATTGGAGTTAAACCTTCAGCCAAGATTTCAGCTCGTATCATGTGTGTTGTGTGGGCTGAGTGTACATTTCAGGGCTTGTACTACCGGGCCACTGCTTGGCAGATCTTTCTACATCGGCTTAAAAGTACATTTGTCCAGGGTGACCCAGTGTGTGTCTTTGACCTGCAGTGAAGGACAGAAATAATATCTATCTCAGATGAATGATGCTTTTAAATTCTATTATCTTTTCTAGAAATAGCTCAACAGCCAAGCCAGACCAGAAGCGTTATTAAGATTTGTGCCTACTGAGGTTCTTGAACAGGCTGGCACTTCTGGTTTGTATGTATGATTTCATTTTTATAGAATGAAGATAAATAGCCAGGAACTAATACACACTTATACCCACTAAATACCGAAACTGAAGGTGTCCAGCAGAGACTGTCTGGAGCCCAGTAGGGAGAGCTTTGAATAAAACACAGTCATCAGTATATATCATCTGTCTTAGACACTTATTTAAGCCCCGCCACATGGAATATAATTTAGTTGTTTTTACTATGAACCTTCGAATCTACATGAAGTGATATGATTGGAACGTGAGTGATTCAGTGTCAGAACAAGTCCTCTAAATCGGACGGTGATCTGAAACCAGATTAATGGGTTTGCCTAAATGAAATTGTATAAGACAATTTCCCATTTCTATTAATTGTATATTAACATGGAAAGGCATGACGTCCATCTTATACCGTGGATGGCTAATAATCAAGAAAGCAAACTTGAGCTATTTATGAGCAGGTCAGAGTCCAACTTTGGCAGCCGCTTCCCATGTTCTCCTCCATACAAAGTTGCACCATTTATAATGAAGTGTCCATAGTACTAGCATCACTGAATTATAGGAGTGGACGGAAATAATTTTCTTTTTCAGATCAGGATGATATGCTAAAGTGAGCGATAGACAAGGTAAAGAAGCCTCCCAAGAGTGAGACGCCTAAAATGCCCAAATCATAGAAGGTTGGAAGGCACCTTCCGAGGTTATCCAGCCTCGCCTGGCACCTTTCCTGGCACCCCTGCCAGGCGGTCACTCAGCCCCTGTGTGAAGGGTGATAACCTCAGTCCTCTGCAGACAACACTGATGGCCAACACTGATGGACAGAAAGATCAGCTTCAGTGACTGCCCTTCTCTCAGTCCGCCCCACCTCTGCCACGCAGTTCTTTGTATAAGAGCCATTCAAGCAGCTTTTCAATTTTCCCTCAATCTGCTCCTCTTCCCAGCTATTTCCACTGTTTCTCCTATGTCACGGCGTCCACATCTTTCACCCTTCTAGTTAGTTACCCTGTACTAGAACCCTTTAGTTCACTCGTGCTCTTCTAGGTCTTGGCGTCTCCAGTGTGACTAACACAGGCTGCCCTGCAGAAGGGTTATCGCATCCTTGATCAGGAGACCGCCGTGCAGTTAACGGTGCATTAGCTCCTCAGCCGTTTCCTCGTTCTCTTGCCTCCTATTGAGCGTGTGGTCAACTAAAACGCTCAGGTCTCTTCTACATGAACTGCGTTTAAGCCACATATCCCCTGCCCTGTTCTTACACAATTGATCGCTTAATCAATACTGCAGAATTTTATATTTATTTCTGTTAAAAAGAAATTGTATTTTGTTTGTTCCAGCCCAGTGTTTCTCAACAGGGTCACTAGGGCAATCTGGGAAGACGCTTCCTTCCCCAGGACTGTCCTATGCATTGCGAGATCTTTAGCATCACTCGCTGGTCCACTCCCTTTTAAATGCCAGGAGTCACCTCTGAGCATTACTGAGAATGCCACTTGTACAGGCGATCCTTGGCTTGAGAATGACTGAGCCCACCTTTCCAGCCAGTCAAGACTGCCTTTTATCAGAGCTCTCGTGAGAAGTCTGTAGGTTCAGGGCCTGTCAACCCAGATGGGCCCCCTGCTTTATATATGCATAGTAATAGTAATGAGATGGAAGCAATCCATGGTGATCCCAGCTCTGAGCACATTGCCAAGAGCAGGCAATTGAATAGCCTTCCTAATGCAACTGTCATCCAACTTTCGAATTCCTTGTTGCTTCCAATCTCGTATGAACACCTAATTGAAATATTTTTGCTCCCTGAAAAAGATATTGACTGGGACAAAGTCAAGTATAGAGCCTTAGACTGTCAGGGTGGCTCCCCTCGGGCTCAGTGGCTCTGCAAGTGAGCCCCTGAGGCCACAGTGCCATGGTGCTCTCTCATGATTTCTAAGCTTTCACAGAAGGTCCAACGATTCCTTGATTAAAGTTAGTTACAACATAATCTAATTAAAGCAGTTTTATCTTTTGCTTCACTGCTGAGTTTAGTATTACCCTTCTTAAGAGAAGAGGGGGCAAAGAGGCTTTCAACCAAGACGCATGATTGGTGACCTAGTAATAGAATTTCAGTGTTCTTGTTCATTAAAAAAGAAGTGGGGGAGATAGAGCAAAAACCAATATACTGAGCGTGAACACCACACTGTCCCTTTGCTTGTGTCTCTGGATGGCGTCTCCTTGCTTATTTGAGAATGATCCTTATCAATCCGTTAGGCTTCAGCTAGTAGAGTTGGCTTAGGTCAACAACTGAAATAGTTAGGCTAAGTCTAATTTTTTGAGTCAGGGAGATCATCAAGGAGATAAGTTGTCCAAAAGTTGAGCCATCGCTTAGTGGTCACTCTTACGTCGACCAAAAAATTGGCCATCGTAATAGGTCAGTTTGATCATCAGCGTGAAAGTCATTGTGATCCTACGAAAGACAGTGCATCTGAGTTTCTTTTATTGCTCATGCTGCCCAGATTCCTGTTAAATATTGCCAGGTGTCTGGGGAGTGGGTGCTAAATTCCAGGCACTATTTACATTCTAAGTGAGTTGCAGGGAGGATGATTTGCATACTCTATCCCTGGCAGAAAACATCTACCATGTGCTTATTGGAACATCATGCCTTTGAAATAACTAGCAAAGAAAGGCCTATGAAGCCTTTATGATTAAGGAAAGGCACAGGGGGGTGAAGGGCGGAGATCAGAAGAGACAGAAAAAATGAAAAAGCACTTTGTGAACCTCGAATGTTGGGCTGACAGAATATCTTACAACTAAGAAGACCTTTTTGAAATTCCGGATTCTTTGGAAGCTGCTGCTTTCTTTGCCCCCAGAAAGAATTCTTCATTAAATACAAACCCAGTGCCTGCTTTTAAAACGCTGGAACAGGTGACTGTACGGAGCAATCAGAGTCTGGTTTATCCGTGACGCGGGCACCTGTAAAACAGAGAATCCTTCGGATAATTATAGAGATACTAAAGTTTATATACATATTCCTGCAGGCTTGTATATAAGACGATAGAACACGTGCCCATTAAAACAAGCTACAACGAACAATTTTTTGCGCATTACTAATCATACCCGAGTGTATCTCATAAGTGTGTATATTTGCGTATCAGGTGGGCCACACCCTCACCAAATGAGTAGAGCAAGATATTGCCTATCATTCCACCAGGCATAAAGGTAGGAAGGCTTCAGGGAACATTAAGTTACTATCAGCTACTTATTCTAAAAGCCATAGAACCATAGGGATTTGGGAGAGAGATACAAGAAGCATCAGATGTGAAAAACGATCCACCGTCTGTGATACGGTCCCTAAAAGACAAAGCTCTTAATTCGTGCAGCCCTGGCATGTGACAGACAAGCTTCTAAGTGATGTGGAACTGGCGACCACCTTTGACATGCTGGCCCACTGTTACTTTAGTCTCTGCACGTCCCTCTGTTCCCACATTCCCCTTCATCCTACCATCATGTGACATAACCCGGTATTTCCATCCTCATTTCCCACAAAAGCTCGTTGCATTTGCTGGACTCTCACTAAGTGTTTGTGCCCTCATTTGCGTTCCCTGAATTGCATTGCTGTGTTTCTGGCCATTTTTTAATTCCTTTTCCATCTGAACAGCAGGGACAATTAGGCAGTCATGCCACCTAATAAAAAGAACATGCAGCGATGATGTCTTTGACTCCTGGTATGAAAAACGGCAAGCAGAGTAAATGCCCACGTGCTAGAGAAATTAAAAAAAAAAAAAAAAGTACATGTGGGTGGAAAAATGCCCCAATCCTCAAAGTCCCTCTTGTGTGCCGTGTCTGATGGAGATCGTGCCTGCTGGGGCACTCATGCCATCTGGGCGTTCTCTGCCTTTAAGGAGTGACCGCCACCTCTTGCATTTGGTATCCTCAAAGCTTCCTGAGCCACAGTTTCAAGGACTGCATACTTCCCCTTCCTAGTGTACCTCTCTGCTCCTTGCTTTGTTCCTGATTTTTAACAGAATGCATGCAAAAAGTTACAGAATGCATGAGCACAAAGTGGCCTTAGTCTAGCTACGATAAGCTGTCTAATGAAACCCAGAGGAGGAAACCTGCTCTCTAAATATCGCTAGATGGTGTGGCTAGAACTAAGAGTGTCGCCAAATACTACAAGAACATTTCAAGTGTGTGGAGGCCCTTTCTCTGGAGCAGTCTGATGGGTCTGCTGGCATCCCTATGTATGTCCCCCAAGAGGAGGAAAGCCTCTACCTTCTGAATGAGACATTTCAATGTGCATAAGGGGGAGAAAAGATGAACCTAAGCTAGATCTTAAATTGGGTAATAAATACACCATTGAAAGTGGGCCTTGGCCAAAGTGCTGAATGAAGAAGAAACTGCATGTGCAGGGAATGCAGTATGATACGTCAGTTCTCTGAAGCAACATGTTGTAAAATTTTACTGCTTTCTTGTTGTGTTTTATATCTTGTTCTCTCCAGGCTTCGTGGACTCGACCAGAGAAGCAAGAGGTATAGCTTACCTGACCACTAGCCAGTCTTTAGATTGTAAAGCATTAAAGTTTAACTCAGTGTCATAACCAGACGTGCTAAACTAATTAGTCATTTAGTTAGATTAAAGAATAGGTCGATAGCGGTAGTAGACATTACTTAGCAATAGTGTCATTCTGAGCAAGCAAGCTGTGTTGGGAGTGGATGAACAAATCCTTATTATTTCCTAAAACCGGATCTTACTCTCTTGCTGGTGCTGGTAAAATCGCATCCAGGTAATTATACTGATAGAAATCAATTGCCCCAATTCCCAGGCCAGGAGTGAGATACTTTTGACTCTTGGTGGTTGATGTGGCTTTGGCCCATAAAGTCACAGAGTTAGTGATCGAAACACCCCCTCATCCCCTTCCTTTCCAGCTCAACTCATCTTGTTGCTCACTTACAATGATTGGTCTTGGAAAATTATCACATCACATTTCATCTCAAAAGCAATGCAAATGACATCTCTCCTTTGGTTGTCCCAAACTGCTAAACGTATCTACGTGACTTTTATAGAGCATGAAATGTACTCAACTAGAATGATTTGGTACAAATGTTTTTATGTTTTTTAAAGTCAGTGGCATGTCGCTTTTGAAATTTCTCTACTCGCTTCAGTTTGGCTGACGTGGGACTTAGTTTGAAAACTGAAGTATATTAATCTTTAAATCTCAACTATATCCCAAGACCACACTTAAGATCATGCCTATCGTTTCTTACCTGATCTGTGTGACTAAGTGACATATTGTGAACTAAAAAGCAAAATATTTTAGATGAGATTCAAGGACCTAATCATTACAGATTTTTTTAAAAGTAGCTTTTGTCTCTTTGCTATCTTAATAATAAATGCAGAATGTGGTGACCCTGTAGCGTCTGTATCTTAATTTGGTAAATCTATCCCTGAGTCTTTGAGGAATGATAATTATTCAGAACATACAATTCATGTGTTCAGGTCATGACTATGAATATTTAATGCCGTTAAATATTTAAAAGTTGACTGCCTATCCCCAGGCACTGGTAGAAGTTTCTGCAGGGAGTGCACTGCCATTGTCAGCTCTGGTTCATTATAATCTCCCTTTGCACACCACTCTCCAAGTCTAAGGAACTGCAGTTAAGGGCACATCGTCCATGAAATGCTTCCCTCCAGTGGAACAAGAATCACTTAGAGCTGTCACAGGTTGGGTATTTTATTGCCCAAAAGTCATGGTGGCATTGGGATTGGGAAAGCCCAAGGAAAGGGTTAGTTATTGGCCACTCTTCAGCTGCTGCGGATCCCCTTCTGCCAGGCCTTGAACGTGTTCCTTTTGTCATTCTGATTTAGAGGAGGAGCTGAGATTTATCAGGGAGCACTAAGATGATATTAAGAAAATTATTATTATAAGTGCAAGTAATAGGTTTACTTGGAGGAAAGCAGACACCTCACTCCCTTTTCCAGAAGTGTCCTTATCTGGAGTGTGGCACTTTGGTCACAATTGACTTTCAAGTGAAGGCTGCCCCTGGGGGCTCAGGAGTTGCATTCTCTCCTGTTTGTCTCATTTAGAACTGAAGACCTCAAGTCCAGATAAGTGCAAAGGAAGGCTCAAGTTAGGGCCAGTTTGATTCTGTAAGTTCAAAAAGCCTTAGCATTTTTACTTAGAAAAAGGGAGAGAAAAATGTTTTGATGTCAAGAAGAATTATAATTTCCCTTCATACTTTTTTGAATAAAAAAAGAAAGGTCTTCTTGCCATCCTGATCTTTCCACACTTGCCCAGAGCTCATTTGCTACCTCTGCCGCCATAACCTGGAGGGTCAGCGTGACTTTTGGCCTGGATGGCTTGTCGGTGGCACCCTCTGACTTTGTCCTGGGGCCACCAGAGGAGAATATTTCAGGGGGAGGTGGTCTAATCACACAAAGTCTCTGTGTTTCCTCAAAGGGAAAACTGGACATCTGGCCAAGATGCCCATCATCAGTCGTGAGCCCCTGCAGAATAAGAATTCCCTGTAGAAGGCTGCCTGGTGGGCTGCGGACACCATTAAATGGGAGAAATTTCCACATAGAGAAAGTTTAGAAAAGAGAACAGATAGAAAAAAAGAAAAGAAAACGTATGGCTGTCCATGCAGCCATTTTCTCAGCTTCTCTTCAACCATTTTCTAGAATATTCTGAGTAGAGACTGCTCCTCCCTATTGTTAAAGTCTTACTTTTACCTCATGATTTTCTTCACCTCTTTTTTTGCTTTCTTTGTCTCTTTGTGGAAGCGTCCTCTTAACTTCCTAAAGATAATGGTCAGGTTCCCAGGTTTGTGGTGACAGCCCCAGTCCAAGTTCTGTCTGTGTCACAAAGAAGCATACAGTTCAGTCGCTGGTTGGCAGCACTGAGGTAACTAGAAAGGCCGGGGATGGACCTTGAGTTCCCTCTGCCTTTAGGGTTAGAGTTAGGCTTAAAACCCTAGCTGTGTTTTAAATAGGAGCGCCAAGCATGTCAGGCCAGGCCTGTAGAGATAAATGCAGGGATGGCTCTCGATGCCACTAGTGTAGACGACAGGTAAGGATTTTTCTGTGGTGCATGAGATGAGCCACTGGGCTGTGTGAGTAAAACACTGCCAGCCCACGAGCAAAGAGGTCCCACGATCCACCCGACCACCCGGGTGTCTCCAGGCTTTCTAGTGGAAGGCTACACCCCTGTCTATTGTCATCTCCCATTAGTGTGGGACGCAGCTTCTCAACCAGCCAGGCTCCCAGATTGCTGCGTCCCATGGCAGCATCAGAGCACTCGTCTCAGGGAGGAGTGGCACTCACAGCGGCAGGCAGGGGGACTTTGCTTAGAGCTTCTGTCTTCTTGCCAGCCACTGCCTTCCAGCATCCACTCATGAAGTGCGATGGGGACTTAAGTAACTGGGGCACACTAAACCTGTGAGTGCTGGGGAAGGGACTTCTTACTGTAGGTCTGAGGCTGCTGCCAAGGCCAAGTGTGCCTTGCTTTTGAGCTTCCCAGACTGGCTGCTATAGCACATGGCATTTCTGAGTTCACACTTCCAAACCAGCACACCAAAGGAATCTGAAGCCAAGAGTTCCTTCATTTTTTAAAGACCTAGCTGATAGGTGGCAGATGGCAGGTGCAGCATACCCTCCTCTCCATTTCTATAGAACATCATATACTGGAGATCAGAGGGTGGTGGCCCAGCCCACAGGAAACAGGAGCCCTCCTTCAGATTACCAGCTTTCTTGAGGATCTGAACTTGGACCACATGTCTGGACTCTATCTGGGCTACCAGCCACTTTACTTAGCATGTTAGGGCAAAAGATGGGAGAGACACCTCAGAGACACCCCAGTACTCATTGCCTAAGGACTGTGGGCTCATTCTCCCTTTGACCAGCCGTTGTAATTCTGGAGACTCAGGAAACCAGTTGCAATATCAAAGCCTATATAATGGTGACGACCATGATTTTAAGAATCCCACATCTGCCTGGGACCCCCTACACCACTCTCCCTGGAGAGAGAACCCATTAGCTCCACTTCCAGCTCAACAGCTAAGCTCCTGAGCTTTGAGTTGACTTGTTTTTCAATGCAATCATTTCACTTTCAAGCACCCAGGCAAGAGAGGCATCTGCAGAAATGGGTGCTCTTGTATAATGTCTTACGTGGAGCACAGTCAGATTTCCTAGCACATGTGCGTGTACGTGCGCACCCTGGAACAGGCAGGTGGACAGATGGGCAGGAGAGGATCACCAGGCGAGGCTGCTGCCCCTGGCGTGCCTGCTGCCCAGGGCGGTCGGTTCCAATTTAGATACCCCAAACCAAGTCTTCCTGGGAGACCTGACCCTAAACCAGTGCTGGTGCTTAGTTAAGGCCACCTGACGTAGCCGAGTCCCTTTCCTGTTTTGTGTGGATCCACTCAAGTTCCCACGGTGCTTCCCACCGCCTCCCCCATCAGGTGGCACCTAAAGTAAGACTCAGCCATTGGCGCAGAGAGGAGAGAGGGTGAGACTGGTCACAGGCAGGCGATGGCCTAGTCTCCTCACCCGCTTTGCTGTAGTACTGCCACCCCCCACCCTCCCTAGGGCTCTGACGCGCCCCCTCCCTCCTGGCAGACCCTGGACGGGCACATGGTGGTGCGTTCCCACGCCCGCGTGTCGTCTCTGACCCTGAAGAGCATCCAGTACACGGACGCGGGAGAGTACATCTGCACGGCCAGCAACACCATCGGCCAGGATTCCCAGTCCATGTACTTGGAAGTGCAATGTGAGGATTGCTGGGGAAGACGGGGCGGAGGGAGGGCAGTGCAGGGTGGGGATGGGGAGTGGCCCCAAGGACCTAGGTATGTCCCACCCTCAGCTCTGCTCACGTCCCTCTGGCAGTCGGTCCAGGCCATTTCAGAGCTGTCCCTGAGTCACCCCACACACACCATCCCCAGGCTTTGTATTAACTGGCCAAGCCCCTGGAGTCCTCCTGTGCCACGCATGCGCACAGGAATTCTGAAACAGCCCTGACCTCCACCACACCAGACACTGGCTCTGCTTTGGAGCACACCCAGCTTCCCGGTGCCAGGAGACAGGATACGGGGCCCCATGAGAGTGGCAGTCCCCCTGATCATCATCATCACTCATTGCAGATGCCCCCAAGCTCCAAGGCCCTGTGGCGGTGTACACTTGGGAGGGAAACCAGGTGAACATTACCTGCGAGGTATTTGCCTTCCCCAGCGCCACCATCTCATGGTTCCGGGACGGTCAGCTGCTGCCAAGTTCCAACTACAGCAACATCAAGATCTACAATACCCCATCCGCCAGCTACCTGGAGGTGCGTCAGGCTGGGGCAGGGCCCGGGTGGAGGAGGCACAGTTTGACCACAGACAGCTCCTGAATGCAACTCTGGTTGCAGCTCTCTCTCTGGTTTCCCGGCGTATCCGGAGCAGGGAAGGCATTGGCTGGAAAAGAAACTGAGCTCATCCTAGGCTCCCTGTCCCCCACTGCACTGATCCTCTCCCTGCAGCTAGAGCAGGACTGGGAGGAGGACGGTCCCTCTGTCTTCAGCCCCTTGCCACTCTCTCTTATTTAAGGCTGGGCTGGAGCTGCCGATTCATGCCTTACCAGTTCTATTCGTTACTAACTTAACCCTGGAAATAAGGGTCTGAGTCCCACAGCATACTTGTAACCCAAGAGCTCTTTCTTTCTAAAGGTGACCCCAGACTCTGAAAATGATTTTGGAAACTACAACTGTACTGCAGTGAACCGCATTGGACAGGAGTCGTTGGAATTCATCCTTGTTCAAGCAGGCGAGTCCCTACGGCAGCTGCCACATCACCCCTGCCAGCCCATTTTGTGTACTCAGCGATGACAGGAGAGGGGGGAGAAGAGAAGACCAGGAGACTGTCTAAGGATGGAGCATATTTATGTCAGCAAAGCCAGGAACCCAGGAAGCAGGGAACAGCCACTGGAGGGTCTTAGCTTGGGGCATGCAGGGAAGAGTCACCTGAGGAGGCAGGCCAAGAGGGCAGGGTACAGGTGCACAGGTGACAAGTTTCCCAACAGTGAGCAGAGATGAGATAGACATGCCTTGTGATTGGAAGTTAGGCTCCCCGGCCAAGGTGGGCTCACCTGGGTCTCTGTGTGTGCCCTCCCCACAGACACCCCCTCTTCCCCATCCATCGACCGGGTGGAGCCGTACTCCAGCACAGCACAGGTGCAGTTTGACGAGCCAGAGGCCACGGGCGGGGTGCCCATCCTCAAATACAAGGCCGAGTGGAGAGCAATGGGTGAAGAAGCGTGGCATTCCAAGTGGTACGATGCCAAAGAAGGTGAGTCGGGGACAATGGGCGTTTTCCTCTGGGCCCCGGAGTGCCTTGGTGCACAGGTTGGACTGAGCTCAGCCCTAGCATGCACCAGATCCTGGCTGCCCACAGGGAAGAATGGCACCTCACTCTTGCCTACTGGAGCTTGCCGCCTGCCACCACCTGCCATTTTATCATATGCCAGAATTAGGTTGTGGTCACCTCTCCCATAGAGTTGTGGACTCCTCTGCCCCCTTGTGCTTCAGAGCCTTGACCCTTCCAGGATAGATGAGGCCCTCTCAACTACATCCAGGCAGCAGCCCCACAAAGCTGCTGAGCACAACCAGACAAGCCCAGTCCACCTTGCTCTGCATATTTGAGCTACTTGAGCTGTAGGCAGGTTCCCTGCCTACCCAACTGGTCCTACTGGGGAATCTGTACTCAGAGACTATCATGTAACCATGATGCTGATCGAGTGAGCAGGCCCTGTGAGGAAGGTCTGGTCTTACATCAGGTACCCTACGATATCTTTCCAAGCTAAAGATTTTTTTTAAATGGACCTTAGATTACTATAATTTGAAGATTCTGAGCCCAGACTGGCTAAGGATAGAGTATATTCATGTCTGACTCCCCCTTTTGGGTTTAATTGGAATCACTCAGGGAAGTGTGTTTTGTTGCTACAGAAATTTTTAATCCTGGTCTGGTGTGTGGTAACTAGTGTGGAGCTACCGTGTTTCCCTGAAAATAAGACCTACCCCCAAAATAAGCCCTAGCAGGATTTCTATGCATTTTTTAAATATAAGCCCTACCTGATAATAAGACCTAGTGGTAAGACCCTGCATTTCAGCACGAGTAAGACATCCCCTGAAAATAAGCCTTAGTGTGTCTTCTTGAGAAAAAATAAATATAAGACAGTGTCTTATTTTCAGGGAAACACAGTAGGTGTGGGCTGCGATATTCACATCATGGCCATTCAGAGACACAGTCCAACCCTGTTCCACTGAGAATTAGTTCTGCCGAAAAGTGTCTGCCACTCCTTCAGCTTCTAAGGAGTGCAGGGGGCCAAGAGGAAGTGCTGTATAGTCAGAATCAGAACCAGAAGAAAGCAATCTCTCTCCCTTCCAAACTCCCCTCTGAAATCTTAGACCAGCTCTGTGGCAGGTTGATCCCATGTTACTACCATCCACCAGGCTTTTTTTCTTGTTTTTCTAGTAAATTTTTTTATTATGTTAAAAGACACTTAACAGATTTTACATTTAACCATTTTTAAAGTAAATTTTTTTTTATTATGTTAAAAGACACATAACAAACAGACACATAACGGATTTTACATTTAACCATTTTTAAGTGCACAATTTAGTGGTAGTAAGTGCAGCTGTCACCGCCATCCATCTCCAGAATGTCATCATCTTCCCGAACGTCCCTCTGTCCCCAGGAAACATTAAGTCCACACTCCTTCCTCCCTCAGCCCCTGGAAACCAACATTCTGTTTTCCCTCTCCATGCATGTGGCTAGTCCAAGTGCCTCATATAAATGGAATCATATAATATTGTCTTTCCGTGGCTGGCTTGTTTCACTTCACATAATGTCCAGGTTTCATCTACATCGTAGCATGTGTAGAATTTCCTTCGTGTTTAAGGCTGAATGATATTTCATTGTACGTATGTGCTGCATTTCATGTACCCATCCATCCATCACTGGTCATTTGGATGGTTTGCACCTGTTGGCTACTGTGAAAGATGCTGCTGTGAGCTTGGCTATCCAGGCATCTGTCTGGTCTCCGCTTTCAGTTCTTTTGTGTATGTGTGGTTGAATTGCTGGGCCGAATGATGAGTCTCCATTGATTTTTTGGAGTTCTCACCATACTGTTTCCTAGGGCGGCTACACCATTTGACCAGTAGCCTGTCACTGTTTTGTGATCCTCCCTATGTTCTCACAACAGCCAGCATGGAAGGCATTGTCACCATCGTTGGCCTGAAGCCGGAGACGAGGTACTCAGTGCGGCTGGCAGCCCTCAACGGCAAGGGGCTGGGTGAGATCAGCATGGCCTCCGAGTTCAAGACACAGCCAGTCCGTAAGTAAAGACGGCTTCCCTGCCTCTTCCCATCCATGCCCACCCTCCTCTCCCTAGGGGCAGCCAGGGACCCTGATTTGGCTCAGCTCATTGTCCAGACGACAGCTTTTCTGCTCAGGTGGCCCTCCTACTTAAACTAACTCACAGCCCCTCATTCTTTCTTTCTCAAAGGGGTTAGGGACACTGTCCTAGTCAGTAGCTGGTCGAGCTTGTTAGAGTAATAGCCAGGGGCAAGCCACTCACACATTATTAAAGGGAGCGGGAAGAAAACCGGTGAGCTGTGGAGGGACCCGAGAGATTTGCTCTTTGACACAGGCCACAGAGGCCCTCGGCACCCTGTGACGTGAAGGAGGAAAGCAAAGTCGGTGGCAGGTGACATAATTCGCTGTGGGGTTTTTTGATGCAGCAGAGATACTCAGTCGCAGAGGAGAGGAAGCTGCCATAGAACACAGGAGCAGGACCAGAAACCCAATAGTGCCAAAGGGGGTGGGACGGGGCAGTCCTGGCCTCTCCCTTTCCGGTCCCTCCTCCCCTCTCACCCCAGGAGTGCTGGTCAGGGTCTCTCTCCCTCTCAGCCTCTTTCAAAAGAGCTGCTCCATTTCCCCGCCATGCCATCCCGTCTCTCTTTAGAGCACGCAGCCCTGCTCCGCCCTCCCTGCCCACAAGCAGCCAGGCCCTGGGCGAGCCCTGCTCCTGTCCTATCCGTCTGCAGACCCAGTTGCTGCCCTGGGAGGCCCCTGCGTCCATGCAGCTGAAGCAGATGCTGCAGAACTAGACTCCCGAGGGGCCACCCCGGATTTAAAATGCACGTGGGAGAATCCTTTGCTTCCTTCTCTTTGGAGCCCAGGGCCTGCAAAGGGACCCCTCACCTCTTCCCAGCTCTAGAAAAGCCCGTCTCATCTTCCTCCTACAGGAATTGCTTCTTTCTCTGGATTTGAAGTAATTTGATAATTTGAGTTTCCAGCTCCGTGTGCTCTGCGGATCCTATTCATTTCTTTTACGTCTTTTTTTTTTTTTTCTTGGGTCTGTCTCTTGTCTTTCCTTTTCGTCTGTGTTCCATCCATGGGAAATGCAGATAGCCCTCCTCCACGTAAGTGCCTCTTCATACCCCATTACCTGTTCCCATAGCGTTAACGTCTGCTAGTCCTAGTTCTTAATTTAGCTCCGGTGCCTTTTTTGTCCCCTAGCGGCTGCAGTAGATACTGTCCGGGCCCTAACCACACTGACCTTAGTCTAGCTGTGTTCTCGTTAACGTCTGTAGGTTACTCCAAGAGGCTAACACTCTTCCTGTTTTAGAGCATGCAACTTCTGTGTCTTTTGAAATTGTGCTTATTTATTAATTTTTTGTGTGTGATGACGACCTACCCTGTGGCAAAGATGACACTGGCTGAGCCACGCATGGCAGAAGTCTGCAGAAGGCCCCTGGACAACCCGCTATTGCCCCACTTCGCTTTCAGCCAGGATGACAGGAAAGTGACCCCGGCCTCCCCGGGCCACGATTCTAAAATCCCTTCAAGGGAAAAAAGAACCTGGAAGGATTTTCACGTTGGCTTTTAGGAGATAAAAGAACCAAGCTCAGTTGCCTCCTTGCTTTTCTGGCTATGGAGTTGTAGGTAGAGGGGAACAGGAGGGCCGGTGGGGCAGCCCCCCGTGGTCGCCACCATGGTGAAAGTATAGCATGAACTTTGGTTCCAAGTCACCGGCACGGCCTTCAGCAGCTGTTGGAGCTAAATCCCTAGTTCTGGTCAGCTCTGTTTCTTAGCCCTAAGTTACTTGCAACGTGGATTATCATGTTTGGAAAAGACTGACCGGCTAACTTAGTAACTTTCCTGCCATACGTGTAGCAGGGGAGATTTGCCGGGGGCAGGACACCCTCATCGTGTAAGCTAGAAATAGAGGACACAGGGCATGGCACTGCGGGCTCACCTCCTCCACCTGTACAGATGCCCCAAGCTTCACTTCCTCAGCTGAGCTCAGAGCATAGTGGAGGGCCATGTTACCCGACAGAAGAGAAGCTCTTCAGGAAGCTGCACACTCTTTTTATAAAAAGCTCCTAGCTCCTGAAAGGCACTCAAGGAAGCTCATCTTTGTAAAATTAATTCATAAATATTGCCACAACAGCAAAAACTAAGTAGCTAAACGTAGGCATCCTGAGATTTTGAGCAAGGGCTAAATCCACTGCCTCAGCAGAGCTGGTGTCTGAATGAACCCTCTGGAAGGCATCGGCGGGTGAGGGGTGGCGTTGGCAGGTAGGCTGACAGCTGTCTGCTCTGGGCTGGCGGCTGTGCCCTGAGCAAGCTCAGGAGGAGGCAGCTCTGGGCACAAGAGAATCTTCCTTCTGAATCCTTCCACTGATCCTTCAACCACATCATCAGATTTGCTCTCATCTAGATTTGATCAGTTAATGACAGCTAATTAGTTACATTAGAGGACGGCTGGGATGAGGCCTCCCTCTGAGTCTCTGACCAGGAACTGGACTCAGAATAACTGGGTCCTGGACTTCAAAGACCACAGTAGTTCTCATTCTTTGCCAGCTCAGCCCTTGTAAAGGTGAGATTTTTTTTTTTTTAAATAGCAGAGTCTATGTTTTTAAAGTCAACATTAAAAAACTAATGTTTCATTAAATTCTGATTCTAAATTTGCATTTAGATTAAATTTTTAACCAAAAAAAAAAGACGCCTCTAGACCTAGTTGCGTATTGACTGGTAGTCTAAAAAGGGGTAGGCCAAGAAGCCCTTTGGAAAATGGCATCACCTCCCCATCCCAAGATCATGAATGATACAGCAGCAGGCATTACTAGTGATACAGAAATCGGTATCAATCGTACAGTAAAGTTATGGCTTAAGGAATCTGAAAGCAAACTTCTTTGAGATAAGTAGAACCATGGCACAGTCTTAGCGTTAAGTTCCCCTTTATTAAGAACTTTGGCAGGAAACATCATCCTGTGGGAACATCATCCTCTCACTAAAGACACCTTATCACAGCCTTCATCTGTGTCCCTCCAGCCTCCCCAGCATTGCTGAAGTGAGGGCCGAGCCCAAGGGCTCTCCTGCTGCCCGTAGATTCACCCTGAAAGGGATACCATTGGGAGGATGCTGCCCGCAGTTACCACTGCTGTGACAAACCCAACTTTCTGCTGCTAGGAAGTGAGAACAAGTCTTACCTCTGAGTTCTCACTCCCATTCCATGGAAGGCACAACGGTTGTCTGAGACTAACTAGAATCCACCAGCTATTTAGCTGCATGTTTCCGCTGAGGTCAAGAACCAGCGGCATTGCTTTCTGACCCCGGCTCCTCCGGGCACCATCGACACCGCACCCCTATCCTCTAACACCACAGGGGTTCAGATCCATAGCCAGATCCCATGGCACTGGAGTTGAGCCCTGGCTGCACCCTCAGCTCCAAAGAAGAGAAAGCCCTGGGCCAGTAGGGGCTGGCAAACTGGGCAGCGAGGCATGGCTGCCAGACCCCTGGCCTGCCAGGCCATTATGTGAGGCCAGTGTATATGGCATTGACTCACTATACTTAAAGTTTGTTGAGACGTTCGATAAGGGGAGTGCTTTCCTGGCTCCTTAGTTGACTTCTCCACGTTCAAGGGCATGACTTTATCCAAGCAGGGTTGAGCAGGTGAAACTAGCAAAGCCACAAATCCTTGAAGGAGTCCTGGTTATGAACCTCCAGAGTAGAGAGCATGGCGTCCCCACTGGGGGGTTCCTGCACATGCAGGGCATGCCCAGGCATGATGATAATGAGGAAGCTGTGGCTCCAACCTGGGAGAATGTTCCCGTTTCTTGTATTTTTGAGCCAAATGTCTGTGTGCCATCAAGACACTCAGGTGGAAAGCTTGTGACCTCTCTTTGTCTGGGGAGGGGCTGCTTACAACCTACTGTGAGTCTTTCCCTCTGTGACCGAGCCGTGCACCTCCAGAATTTTATAGCCTGAGCATTACCACTCAGTTTTCATCTATACTCTGCAGCAAAATAGATGATTCCTTTCTGGATATAGAGATCATGAATGAATCTCTACTTTCTTAAGATTTTTGTTTTCACGTGTATTCTGTGTCCCCCAGATAACACATTACAAGTTAAATGCATTATGATACAAGTGGCTAAAACACATAAAATTCCCTTTGCCAAAATAGTAGAGACAATCATGCAAACAATTCTAACCTCTCCACCACCACCTTGCCAAAAAAAAAAAAAGAGAGAAAAAAACAGAGAGAGGGAAGGAGAGATACATTTTCACACAGATTAATCAGACCATCCAATTATGAAGAGGTCATTGTCTATGTGGCTGTGATTCCATTGACGCTGTACTCATGGTTTAATGGGATCCCCTCATCTTGGGGGTAAAGGAAGATCACACCAAGAATACTTACTAAGATAGTGTTGGAGACACATTGGTGTTTTTCCAAAATTTCATCTACCTCTCAAAGGGGACTTGGTTTTATGATTGTTGATAGGACAACTTCCTAATATTTGCCCAGGAAAACTGAAGATCCATTCTGGGTCCCAGCATCTCAGATGCACGGTTTCTAACCATCCTTCATAGGGAAAGTTGGTTAGCATTCCTTGTTCAGCCCCAGTGCCTTTGACACCCCCTTTCCCTGGGGGAGTGAGAATAACACTGAACGTTATTTGCTCTGCTCTTCAATGGCAGTATCCAAATAATCGCACTCTGTAAGGGTCCTTCTGGAGGGCAGCGGTGGCTGTAGCATCACCTGTGTGTTAGATGACCACGCATCTCACCCAGTAGTAAACTATAAGCAGGACAGTCATTTCTGCATCATTCAGATGTTGAAATCAGTGAGGCATATAATAGGTTGCACCGTATATGCAAACAAATGCCTGCCTATGAATACACATATAGACGTGCAATATGAAAAGCCCCAGTCTTTTTCTCTCCTTTGCTTATTCACCCTGAGCTGAGGTCCAGGTTCCCTTTTCTCCTGCACTTCTGATCCCAGGGAGACAGCTGCTTCTGCTGAATTGGTTATTTCTT